GTTATCAATAAGTACCAAAAACTAATTATAAAATGTTATCCTAAATAAACAAGAGAACATATTAGTATAAGAATACCCAGATTCTAGCAAATAGATGATATTGAGCATGAAAATTGTACATTGATTATAACAAGCGCAATTCTTTTCAGTAATTTATTTAACTGGCTTTCTAATTGAATTTTAAGATGAGTATTTGTGGACATAATATGTACTTCATGCAGAGCATTTCCTCAAATTTTATACAGAAACTCCACCTGAAACCACCTCAAACGGCAGGACGGTTCTGGTCAGGAGCTCCTGAAAGGCACGATACTCTGTGTGTGTGTGATATGAGATCATATAAAACGTGCTCTCAACTTACAAAAAAATGCAAATATTTAAGGTGCATTGGATTTAAAGCTCTAAGGGCCGAAAAATACACGGTGACATTTTGTTAAATAAACCAATTTTTCTTGATGCAACATTTTCAATGTTAATATGCAATCGTTTATTTCATCACAGAATAATATGCAACACTTCGAACTTCGATATTCAATACAAATCACGTAAAGAATTGAAGCATCATACAAATTTTGGACAATAAACGCTCTTTGTACACTATATGACGTACTCCACTACATGTTTTTTTATATTACTACACTACACTACAGATCTGACTCTTGTGTGTGTTACATGACTACACTACATGTTTTTTTATATTACTCAAATAATTTTCCCTCATCTTTATAGCAATTTGGCAGTTTATCTAGATTTCTGCTACCCCCAAAGTGCGTGGTAGAAATTTAAAGACAAAGACGAACTGACGAAGTCTTCACAAAATATGTTTAGGTTGATTTAAAGATCAAGTTTCAAGAAATTTTAATCATTTCAAGGAGGAGTAGCACATTCATTTTTATTTTATTCCCACTTTATCAAATCATTATCAATCACATAACTTTACCTTTTTTTTAAAGCCACACCATTCCATTCCGTCCCTATATTAGGGGAGGGAGGTAGTATCATTTACTTAAGATCAGAATGGAAAGCTAGACCTAAATGGAGTTAATGATACAATGACCTTTATATAATCTTAAATTAAATAAGGTAGATTCTATGGTACCCATAAGGTACCATACCTTTGACCACATGGACCAATTAGAATGTTACAGTTGAATTATTTAAATCTAAATTAAAAATGATAAAGTGATGTGGTCCAATCAAATAAATAGTAGGTATGGTACCCCATTTTTTAAAAGGGTACCGGAGTTGTCACCATTAAATAATCCCATATAATAGGATTGCAAAGTTAAAGCTTATATTAGGTAAAAGAAAGATTATAGTAGTCCAGTGACTCATGTGAGATTTCGTTGAATTATGGTGGATGGAAAACTAAAAAACATCCCTCAATACACGGATGAGAAAAAAATTGCATTTAGAGATTAAATCCTGAACAAAGAAAATGTGAAATCCTTTGGTGGAATTTTTTTCAGATTTTAAAGTAGACGTACTTCTTATTTCCTATTCAAAATTTAGAATAAAATCAATAAATACTAGATAGGTCCTTGAATTCTATTTTTCGGTTATTGTCAAAATCAGGGGGGATGTCAGAAAATATAGCTGTAAAACATAAATAAAGTGTTAGGTATGTGAGACAACTTGATAAATCAATATGAGACATTCGTTAAAACTTTAATTTTTATTTTTATGGGCGAGATTAGTCCATAATCAATCGTGATTCGTGATGTTTAAGGCATGAGTGAAAGGTACTATGGTTGAGGACTTGAGGTATTAATAGTGCAGAGTTTAAAAATTAAAGTAAAATAGGGCACGCGTAAACATATAATGAAATTATGATGTTTGTGTAGATCGAACCTATAAAATTCAAATAATAAGACTCCAAAACATTATACTTACTACCTCCGTCCCAAATTGATTTGCAAATTTGACTTTTCTTGGTAAAACAGTTTCATTTTATTCGCTTAATTAAGATGTCAATTTTTAATTATATTCTAATTTGGAGTTTACAACTTTGAAGAGATTTGAATGTAGCTTCTGAATATATGAATTTTAAATATTAAAAATTAAATTAATTATCGATACAGAGCATTGACTTTTATTATTGGTTGACAAAAAAATGTTGACTTTGCAAAACAATTTGGGAGTATATGTGATTGATTGGATAACATCACTTCTATAATCCTTTTTGTGATAAAGTCTGAACATGGTTTGTCACTAATTAAAGAAACTAGACTAACATTACATTTGTTGTTAATATTGATTTCTAAACATGCAATATTAAATCAAACATCCTGATATACTTCATTTCACTTGAGCCATTAGCACCTAGAGTATGTTTGATATAATTGAAAATTAGAACATTTTAATAATTTGTTATATACTTATATGTATATACTCCGTATATTGTTACAATCAATGATGACTAAAATAAGCTATTAATTGAATATAGTTTCGTGAAATTAGTTGTAGCCTGTAGGTAGGTTTTTTTGGAAGCGCGGAAAATCAAGTTCATATGATATAAAAGAGTACACAACATCTTATGGAAAAGAAATAAACCGATGAAAATGATCATATCCATCAAATTTCCAATTCTCAACCAAGACTACAAACTTATCTCTATAAAAAGGGAGAATGTTGAATTGGCAAACATACTAAAACTTTATAAACAATTAAAATTTCTAAAATAGTTTGAAATCTTAGGTTCCCAGATTAACTCTTGAACCACACTATGACATTCTTTTCCAAGGAGCAGTCTTAGATATAATATAGCTCACACATTAAAAAACAAATTGATGGATCTACAAATATATGGACATAAACCTCACCTAATTATTCAAGGAAATATTCCCATTGATTAATTTGTTAAAATAAATAAAAACTCTTATATTACACATTTATCAGATAGAAGTCCAATTGATAAAATAACATATAGAATATCAATGTCTGATTGAATAAAATTGTGGAAAAAATATTGAACTACTGGATCCTCTGCTTCATGAATATAGGAAAGATAGATCACATGTTACAATGAAAGAAGTAAAACTTACGTAATTGAAACACAATATTGCTACACAAGAGCAACTCCCAAACAGATTGACTACGTACATGCAACCTTGATGAGTGACCATGTTAGGTGAAGCTCCACTCCAAACCCTGAACCTTTCTTTTCTAACATGGACTCCACAAGTGCAACTGCATAGAGTGATGACTGATATTGAGAGTTACTACTTTGTTGCTCTCAACCTGAAATGGATGCAACTTGGAGAATATTGTCACGATATCGAGATGTCTCTGAAGAGGCGATTCACTGAATTTGAAGAGCGAGACAAGGATTTTGAGTCCAAAATAGTTAAATCCAGAGAGTTGTTGGAAAAGTGTGAAGTAATTGCTTTATCTAAAGAGAAAGCTTTTCTATTTGTACTATTGCTCTCAGTAATTGTTATTTTACAATGCAGACTAGGGATGTTTTCTTTTGGACTGAAATTTGCTGGTCTGGTCTGTTTAAGTCTGGTCTGGTCTGGTCTGAACTGGTCTGGTCTGGTCTGGTCTGGTAAACGTCTGGTCTCTGTGTATTTTATAACTATCCAAGTCTAGTCTGGTCTGGTCTGGTCTGTTTAAGTCTGGTCTGGTCTGATCTGTTTAAGTCTGGTCTGGTCTAATCTGGTCTGGTCTGGTCTGAAACTGAAAACAGTCCAAAAGAAAACATCCCAAGAGTTCATTTCACCAACCAAAGGGGCGCAATTACAACAATTTGGACAATTGAGGGGTGACGTTTACCATCTCAGAAATGGGGGTCTAGCATTTCAATATGCTGACTATTCCAGAGACTAAAGGTGTGATTTTTCTGTCATAAAAAAATCAAAAAAAGAAAAACTTATAGAGGCTATGTTCAATTATTGGTAAATATATATATAGTGCAGGCTTTGGAGAATAAATTATTATGTTAGATTCATATTTATGTGTTAGCATGTAATTAAACTTACTCCAAATACATTTCATTATCCTAATGTTTATTTTTTCTTTTTGTAGTTTATCTTGCCCATTCACTACAAATAGTCAATGTTTCACTAGAATAAGATCCACAATATTTGAATGAATCTCCAACAAAGATGGATAAAATATTTTAATTCACTCTACAGATCAGAGGTTTTCCACCAAGACCATAAATATAATGTTGTCTATAGAAAAGTTTTACAAAATTAAGAAACAGTCTTTCCAAATTTTTATGTGCTTTTAGACATATTACGATGTTACAAAATGTATGATCTTTATTACTCCGTATTATTATTATTATTATTATTATCATAAATACACATCCTGGTGCTTTACGTACAAATAGGAATTAGTAACTTGATACAATAAAATATTATAAACATACAATATGAAAACTAAAAATATATACTATACGCAAGTTGCCCCGGGGCAACGCCCGGGTACAAAACTAGTTTATAAAGATGATAAAGTGATAAAATACGTTTGTATACCTCATCGTTTCAGGTATATATACTTCATCGTTTCAGGTATGCTTTAATTTTATAATTAAAGGTATACATTTGTGAAAAACGAAATTAATTGATAATAAAAAAATGAAAAGTACATGATTAAGGACTCTATCATTTGTTTAGTTACGTACTTTCTTCCGATCTTTTCTACCATGCGCTCACTATTTTTTCTCCTTAGTTTTCTAAATAAAAAATGTTATAGTTAAATGTTTTAAATCTTGTTAACCAATAAGATAAAGACATGTTAGCGATTTATAACTGAGTTTTACTATATAAAACAATAGATAGTTAGACGTGATATTTTAAGTTTGAAAACTCAAACTCCCTTAGTTGTATGCGTGTGCCGTACAGTCGTACTAACTAGAAGTACATAGTACACACATACATGTTTTCCTAGTTTTGCATAAATTGTACTCCGTATTATTATTATTATTATTATTATTATTATTATTATTATTATTATTATTATTATTATTATTATTATTATTATTATTATTATTATTATGGAGGATTTGGAGGACCTCAAGAGGTTACTTGTGGTGGAAATGCATTGAAGTTTTATGCGTCTGTACGTTTAGATGTCAGGAGAGTTGGACAGGTCAAGAAAGGGGAAGAGGTACATATTTTAATGTGATAATAGCTACTCTTCATTGTATTATTTTTATTTTGATGGAGGGTGTAAATTTGTAACTGAATATTGCTTCTACATGTTTCAACATATTGATTTCCATAGTAATTCTTGTGAAATTTGTTTACAAACTCTTTCTGTTTTACAGGTTATAGGAAACCAAGTCATAGTGAAAATCGTAAAGAACAAACTTGCCCCTCCATTTAGAACTGCAGAATTTCAGCTTGAGTTTGGGAAAGGAATATGTCGCGAATCTGAGCTTATAGAGTTAGGATTGAAGCACAAATTCATTACAAAGATAGGAGATGCATTTTACACCATGAATAATCAAAGCTTCAGCGGTAAAGATGCTATTAAAACATATTTGGCCGATAATGCTGGTTTAAGGGAAGATCTCACGATGAAACTCTCGGAGAAACTTTTTCATGTTCAAGAACAAGTTTATACAGAATATGCAGACGTGGACCCCATTGTTCCTGACCTTAGTGATGAAGAAGCTTCAGCTTCAGCTTAGGTGTCAAAGTGGGGGGAGACTGCACAGAATCATGGTGGTCCAGATGAGATTTAACACCTAAGCTGCTTTTTTTTTTGCGTGTGGAGTGAAGTTGGTCCAAGTTTTGGATCTCAATGACCAGTTTATGCCATCCTCCATGTGTATGCCTAAAATAACCGTTTTTTTTTTAAATTAACATATTTAGCTTTTATTCCTCAAATCATAGTTCAGGGAGGATAAAATACAAGAAGGAGGATCAATGTGCCAAACATGACAATCAGGCATAGAACAAGCGGCCCTAGCTAAGGCATGGGCTACCCGGTTCGCTGACCGTCTCACATGAGCAAAAGTAATACTAGTAAAACTAGAAGACAGCTCTAAAATATCATCAACAATCACACCAAAAGCCGAGTCATCCGATCGTTCCTGTATACTTTTAATAAGCTCAAGCGCATCTGTCTCGACTTCTATTTCATTCCACCCTTCTCCCTTGATCCAATTTAGAGCTTCCCGCATAGCTAATGACTCGGCCTCCCGGGGAAGAAAAGAACCAGCCCAAAACAGCATGCCTCCAGCAATAAAAACACCATTCCAATCTCTTGTTACCCATCCTAATCCCGCCCCTTCCACTCCTTGCTTCACGGCTGCGTCTGTATTCACCTTAATCCGACCAGCTGCGGGTTTATTCCATGTTTCCAGACTTTGTTTCTTACTCCCATCTTTACTGTGTGTGCGTTGGGCTCTTCGCCATCCGTCCTTAAAGCCATTTGCAGCGGCTACAATCTGTCCAGGAGGAGTAGAGTTCTTCTTCCAAAGAAAGTCATTCCTAGCTCCCCATATTCCCCAAATTAACATGATAAAATTACTGCAGTACTCCTCATCTTTGATGCTAAAAAGGTTATCAACCCAACTCATGAAATTCATATCCCCAGGTATAGAAATCTGCCATTTCATCAATGCCCAGACCTGCTTCGCAAATGAACACGAAATAAAAATATGTTCCAAACTTTCAGTCCCCGCTGAACAGAATAGGCACTGCTGTGAGCAAACAACCTGCCTTCCCGCTAACTTATCTGTTGTAGGTAAGCAACCTGCACAAACCTGCCAAAAGAAGACCTTCACCTTTGGTGGAATCTGGAATAACCACATTTTAGTTCAGCCCAGTGTCTGAACTGACCCACCATTCTCTGTCAGTCTCCTGTAAGCACTTTTAACCGAATACTTCCCATTTAACTCCCACTGCCAAATTAGTTTGTCTGGGACTAACCTCCTGCTCAAGGGAATGCTACAGATCATCGACTTGTCCCTGCTATTAAACAAATCATTCAGAATATCAGAATCCCAGCCCACCCCGTCAGTCCGCATCAAGCCCGATACCAAACAATTTTCTAGCCCCGAGACACCAGGAGACTCCACTTTTGAATTAGATGAACAAGGGAGCCATGGGTCCTGCCACACTTTAATCAAATTACCGTTACCCACCCTCCATCTATATCCCTCTTTAATAAGATTTTGGGTTTCCCATATACTCCTCCATATGAAAGAGGGATTGCTCCCAACTTTAGCATTTAAAAAAGTGGACTTGGGAAAATACCTTGCTTGAAAAACCTTTTCTACCAGAGTGTTAGGCTCTGTGAAGATCTTCCAAGACTGCTTTCCGATCATAGCAAGGTTAAACTCCCTCACCCGACGAAAACCCAGCCCCCCTCCTTTCTTCGGTAAACACGAACCTTCCCAATCTTTCCATCGGATGCCTTTACCCGCTGATCCAGTCCACCAGAAAGCATTCATTATTCTCTCCCGCTCCAGACACATCTCCTTTGGAAATAAGAAGACATTCATGGCATGGTTTGGCATTGCTTGAATAACAGTTTTCAGCAATACCTCTCTTCCTGCCTTTGATAAAAACCTTTGGTTCCAACTATTCAATTTTTTAATGATCCTTTCTTTGATAAATCCCAATACCTCTTTTTTACTTCTGCCAACCAAAGAGGGTAAACCCAAATACTTAGCCCCTGTCTCCATATGACCAACCCCAAACATCTCTAGTAGCCCCTCACGAACACCGGCTTCTACATTAGCGCTAAATGAGAGAGTTGACTTGTTATAGTTAATTATTTGTCCTGAAGCCTCCGCATAGTCACTAAGCACTTCTTTAACCACCGAACCCTCGCTATGAGTTGCTTTGAGAAAAAGGAAACAATCATCTGCGAACAAGAGATGAGAAATCTTTGGTGCTCCTCTTGCTACTGCCACTCCGTGCAATCTGCCCGCTCTTTCTTCTCTCCTTAGTTTTGCGCTGAGACCTTCTGCTACAATAATGAACAAATATGGAGATAATGGGTCTCCTTGTCAGAGGCCCCTTTGCGGCAATATTGGGCCCAATTCTGTATTGTCAAAAGGAATAGCATAAGACACCGTGCGCACAGACTCCATAACTAAATCCACCCATTTATTCCCAAAACCCAACCTTCTAAGCATGCCTTCCAAAAAAACCCATTCCACCCGATCGTAAGCCTTACTCATATCTAGTTTAAGTGCTGCAAAGCCTTCCTGACCTTGACGCTTATTTTTCAGAAAATGATGGGTTTCAAAAGCGATCATAATATTATCAATAATTGACCGACCAGGAATGAAAGCGCTTTGGTTATGAGAGATGAGACCATCCAGCAAAATTTTCATCCGATTAGCTAAAACTTTCGAAAACATTTTATAAATGACATTACATAGTGAAATGGGTCTCCAGTCAGCCACTGTTTGGGGTTTTTCCTTTTTCGGAATTAGAATGATATGAGTATGATTCACCTTATCTGGTAACCGACCTGACCGGAAGATTTGCTTACAGAATTCCACCACCTCGGGACCAATAATTGTTTCGCTGATTTATTTCGCATAAGAAATAGTAACCGTGAGATATACGGTTTGATATTGATTTCAATTCAAGTGAATTCCTCAAATAGAAGTAGAACATGGGTGATCGCAACACTTAGTTGGACTGCTGACTGCTGAGTTCTTCGTTGGATTCCAATAATTAGGACCCTATTAAATGCACATAAGTAAGGGAAAATGGTCAAATAGGCCATCGAACTTACATAAAAAGGTTAAATAAGCTCTTATATAGAAGGCTCTGTCCAGTCGTCGCCATTTGAGACAGTTCCCGGTGGAATTTTTTGATGAAATTTTTTGAGCATCTTATTCATCAAGTCTAGTTTACTCATATCAATTTCAGCTAACAATTCAATCAGAAAGGCATTTCAAATGAATTCTTGAAGATAATTGCGCAGTTATCTTCAAGAATTCATTTGAATGTCTTCCCGATTGAAGTTTTAGCTGAAATTTGGTATGAGTAAACTAGACTTAATGAATAAGATGCTCAAAAAATGTCATCAAAAAATTTCACCGGGAACCGCCCCAAATGGCGGTGTCCGGACAGAGCCTCCTATATAAGGGCTTATTTGACATTTTTATGTAAGTTCGAGGGCCTATCTGACCCTTTTCCATACAAGTAATTATGTGTATTTGGAAAAAATACGCCTACAAGCCTCCGGAATGCCGCTGCTGGTTGTCGGATTTTTTCCTCTAGGTCGTTGTACTGATCTGTCAAGAATTGAATGTCGCCGCCACCACCACCACTGGATTGCTCTGCCACCAACGCAATTATGTAAAGGTAAAGGAATTGGGATAAAATTAGTTATATTAGTTAATTTATTAAGGGTAGAAAGACAATGTTTAGTCCTATTTATGGATACAAAACACTGAGTCCTATTTGTGCAATTATATTTAGGTTTACTCCTATTTAGAACAAATTTTCAATTCCCCGGGAGTACAACATGGGCTACATGCAAAAATATGATCTACTATTTTAATTCCCTAAATAAGAGTAATTATATGTGTTTGGACAAAATTACTCTTACAAGTCTATTGCCAGCTTGTTGTCACCATTCTTAACTATACTGTTAAAGTATTGGAACATATGTGTGTGTGGTTGATGACAATCATTCTTAATCATACTGTTTTTCAACAACCCTTTTGGTGGTGTAAAAATTTTAATTTTGGATATATACAACAACAGAGTTAGCTCCAGAATAGTATTTATTTAATCAATGCTTTGTAAAGAGTAAGATCAATTAAATAAAAACTATCGCTGGTTGGGCCTTTTTGGAGATATACAACAACAATCGAGGCTTAATGTTAAAAGAATTTAGAGCCAGATAACGTGAATAGTGTTATGAAATGAAGAAGATGTAGACTAAATTTAAGAGATAGATATATTATTAATAAGCTCTGATGGAGTTTAATCCAGCTACGAGAGCTAAATCTACCAAAAGGTATGAGAAACGTATGAATAAGTATGAAAGAATATGGCAGCGTAAGGCACTATACTCTTTATTCTGAAGGGTCAATTGGCCGTCAAAGTTTCGGTCCCTTGGTAGGGTGTTTACAAGAAGTATTTATAGACTTTAGGAGTTATAATTTTAGGAGGAATCTCATACAACAAATGCTGATTAATGAACTATATTCTTGCTCGAAATAGAACTCCTCTCATGCCTTGGACGTCAAGCATAACTAGGAGTTATCTCCTTCTCGTCTATGAATTCATGTCCAAGATAGCTATGAACGAATGATAGCCTGCCACATAAACCCTAGGAATATCCCGGCCTCACTAGAACTCCACCCAGGCTCGAGGTCAGCTTGCCCAGGCTCGAGGTCGGCTCGCCCAGGCTCGAGGTCTGCTCGCCCAGGCTCGAGGTCTGCTCGCCCAGGCTCGAGGTCTGCTGTCCAGCCTGGTTGTGGCTTCCTGTCATGGGCTTGGTTGCTAATTAGGCCCAGTGGCTATTTATGCG